AGCAAGTACTTTCAAGTACAGAAATAGTCTTTATTATTACTGCGTAATAATACCACACAACACAATCCAGAGACACCAGCAAACACAGAGGATTATACCAGAAGGGTCACTTCACAAGTCAATGCACAACTGCATGCAACTGCCTGCTAATCCTGGATTTGACCAGGGTTTATATACTGCCCAAATCCGGGAAGGGGAAGACGGAAAGTTCTGGAAACTGCGCAGTTACGATCACGTGATTGTGCACGTGCTTCGGGAATAACCGCGGAGGGGGGAATCCACAAGTTCGCGACCAATTAAACTGGTACATGCGTGCATCGTATCTGGGTCAAGAGGGGCGCGCCTATCAATGATTAATTGGTTCTTGGAATCGGAAGGAGTCCGGAGATGATTATAATATTATACGTTAATATTCTAATTTATTATCTCATCCTTTTCCCAGTCTTTCTCTTTCTTTCTCGCTGATGTGCGAGCGCTGCCTTTTGGCGAGCTCTCGAGAGAACGCATACGCGTCTCTAGAAACGCATGCGCGTTTCACAGCGAATTATTATCGGGGAATTTCCACCGATAACAATGTGATAATTCAAAAGATTTTGGACGAAATTCGATTGATATGAGCGTTCTTAAAAATTAAGAAAGAATATCAACTGCTGTGCATAAATGTTTTCAGCACCAAACTTATGGTCTAAAATCAAATGCCGTCCAGGTGTCCCATGTGCTTTGGCAAAAAAGGAGCCGGAAAGAAAACTTCTGACAGGAAAACCTAATTAAAATTCCACTGGTAACCTTCAGAAAGTGAATGTGTACATATTACAGTTATTCAACGTTTGATTCGTCAGGAATACGAGCGAAATGTGCCAAGTACTGCCCTAGAATGACAAAGTCTGCCCTTGTCTACCTTCTGTATGATCCCATATATTTCAGAATATTCACTACAATGCCTTGTTGTCTTGACTGTTTGTAAATAAAATACTTGGTCGCATCAAAATAAAATCAAACACTGAATATATAAAAAAATATATATTATGCGTATACTGTATATTCTTTGGTATATTTAATCACAAACAAACACATGTATTCAAATCATACAACACAGTGAAGATATAGTTTTTAGGGAGTTGAAGAAGTCTTGCTAAAATATTGCAGGTCTTGTTGAGAATTATTGCAAGAGTCTCTGACTCAATTCTCTCTGGAAGATTCTGAGGAAAGGATAAGAAAGCAGGAGTATATCTGCTTTCAGATATTTAGTTCATGAAATACTGTAGTTCGGGAGCTAGGGATGCATATCCAAGTCTCAAGGCCAAGATGCTGTGTTCTCGGAACCAATGCAAAATATAATATAAGAGGAAGACACTAAATTCAGGAAAACAGTAATTACCATCTAATGCTGTCAGCAGGAAAAGGAACAGTAATGTGCAGTTGCAAGGAAATGGGCCATGTGCATCAATGTAGGATAGCGCAGAAGTCTTCTAACCAAAACAGAAAGAAAATAAATCCATGGGAAAGTCTTGTTCTCATATTTTCTATTTTTAGAGAGAAAACACAACTGTAAAAGAAACTTGAAACAAAGTGTTGAGTAGTTTGTAGGATAACAGCCCGTTCATATAATTATCAAAAAAAGTATGTATTCTGAAAATTATTTCAACTGCTAACATGTGCTGTATTAAAATTTATGCTTTCATTATGAACCAAGTCATTCAATAAATTTTGATTACTTTGTGATGACAATGACCTGCACAATAACGCGCATAAATTCCGAAGTACCGGAATTGGCCAAACTTTCAATTTGCTGCTTATTTAAAACTTCGTAGGGTCATTCATTGTTCATTCTCTTATCGTCATAGAACCGATAAATAAGAAGTCTGTTGATGCCATTTTTATCAGAGAACATCGCGTGACTGCGTTTGCCGTCTAATCGAGACCAGCGAATAGAGCGTACAATTCTAGCCGTGTATATTTTTTCGGGGAATCCTGATAAAAGCTGCATGGGGCAATCGCAATGCCGAAATTCCGTATATATTTAACGCAGTCTCGTGTTTGTTCAGCCACGAGATTTCCCTCGAAACGACGTCGCCTTTCTCATTATACAGTCATATACTTTTCTGTGAGTATATTACAAGCTCAATAAATTCATGGTTTTTTTTTTCAACCTGGAAAAATGGTTTGTTGTACCTCTAAATAGACATGTATGCCTGCATTGAAAATAAATTTCCGTAAAACATTTCCAAACCGAGTTCCTGCTGCAAACCGTTTAAAATACTGTATATAAGCTCCTTTTGAATCACACGGTCGACAAGAAAGCATAGCATAGAATTTTTTCCTTCGTTAATTTGTCAAATATTTTCAGAAATACTCGTATTTTGATACCCTTAAAAGCTACTTTGAAGTAAGTGAAATTTTTTTTCGACTGCTGAGTATCCGCTAGTAATTTGATGTCATCACGAGTACAGTACTTGGAAAATATTTTGTATGGCCCCTTCAAGCCTGGTGACATTTCCTCTAAGAAATTTGTGTGTACATCCCGAAACAGTTTGATTTAAACGATCGGACTTTCACGCTAATTCAATTTAAAATAAATGTGCATGAGAAGTCAGCCCGTCAAAGAGCCTGGAAAAATTACATTGTACTTTCTAACTGGGGTTGAAGAGGGCAATATAAGAATGCCAGACAAATTCTATTTAATTGATCTCAAAAGAAAGGGAAAAATAATTTTGATAAGACACGCCTTTTCTTTCAAATTTTCTGGACTTGGAACCGCCGAAATAAATGTCCATTTCTTCTGGTTAACTTTGTATAATTCAATTTTTTGGCGCAGTTCAGAAGAAAACTGCTTTCCGAATTTTTCTTTTGCAGGTTCCTTGTACCAGTGTTATTCAATTATTTCCATTTATTCCTATTGCAGTGATTTTCTCATTGAAATCCCTGCGATAAAGGATCAGCATAATATTAAACAATATGAAAAAATACTTGAAATGAAAAGAATGTCCGGCTTTTTAAAACGAATAATCCTTTTGCCCATATCTGGAAGAATAAATCCGTCCAATTTGTCCGGAAAACAGATATCTCACTTCGAAAGTCTCACGACGCGTGTTTTTTTTTTTTTTTAAATGAAGAAATGCTTAGTCTGCAATTCTTCCTCCCAGAAACTCTCGGCATTTCCGCGATTTCTATACTTATAAGGACGTTTCCCGGGGGGTACGGAATTTTTCCTCCTGCAGTGGTTCCCGTCCCATTGATCGCCCTTTGGACGATAATGATGTCCCGAGATCCTCGATTCACGAGCGGAAATTGCTTCGCCGGAGTGAAGAAGAGCCCCTGGATCTGGCTTTTCGTCGGCCCCGTAACCCTCGCCTTAGTGGTAAACATATATATATTTACGACAAATTCCTCTCCTCAGTAAAAAAAAAAAAATAATCTCTTCGACTCGGAAAATGTGTTCCTTTTCCTGCAGGGCAACGTTTTCTTCTTGATAAACATCATCCGCATCCTGGTGCAGCGATACCGTCGCCAGAACATGCGCGAAGTCGCGACACTCAGGTAGGTCTTATTGCTCTTTGTTCCCCAGGAAAAAAAAAGGTGCGATTAAGTGTACGGAATAAATCTGGCAGTGTAGAGATCGGAATAATCTTCCTGATGAACAGTTGGTTGCATCAGGTAAAGCTTCGTCTCATGCTAATGAGGCGCCGACAAGCAGATCGGAGTAAATGATGATCGCATTTCTTCCGCTCTGAATCATCTCGTATAACCACTCCGCTGTGATGGGCGACCAAAAAAAAAAAAAAAAAGAGCGATAAAAGAAGATAAAGATGCAGACTTTTGGATGCGAGAGATAACGTAATTCCTTCGACCTCATTCTTCCACCTGTCAAAATTTCCGGTTTCGTGAGTGCTGGTTGAACCTAGAAGAACAGCGGAATTCATTTTTCTCACTCCTGTCATATTTAGAAGGGCAGTGAAAGCAACCATTTTGCTCCTGCCGCTCCTGGGTGTCACGAACGTGCTTTTCTTCTTCAATCCTGAGGACGACGGCCCCTACGAAATGGCGTACCTTGTTGCCAATTCAGCTTTGCAAGGCACTTTTGTGAGTCACTGCCACCGCGACGATTTACTTCATCTTTTCTTTTTTTTCAAAATACGGATTGTTTTTACATAACTTCCACCTACTCGAGATGCTTGCTCCATGTCGAGGTTATTTCTCCCGGAATAAAGTCGTGTTGAGCAGTGTCTAGCGCACTGGACCAACAACTGTGCGGTAAACCACTAAATACTGTAGTTCGTTTCTGGTTGATCTACTGATGATCACGCAGTGATTTGAAAACCGCCCTGATCGATATTAAATGCATTTTCATTTCCATAACCTGATACAGCACACGATTAGGAAACACAATTTAAAACGCTATCATTCAAATGTATGCGAGAAAATTGCTCAAATAGGATAATGATTCAATCATATCATTTTTTGCTGATTTGGTTTATGTAACCAGAGTGTGTCGAATTAATCCTTCAACCTGGTACTGCACAAGAATATGAAACATCATTTCAAATGTACGTTTCTATTCAAATTTACACGAGAAAAATGCTCGAACAGGAGGCTGGTTCAATCATATTACTTTTTGCTGACCTAGTTTTTGTAACGAGAGTGTGTCCAATGAATCATTTAAATTCAATTTCAAGGTGGCTATACGCGTCAGTGCACAAAATAGTATTATAACAGATGTATGCAAGAGATTGGGAAGAGAACAAAATCTGATTTATTACTGCATCCTGGAAATTTCGGCCTACGTCAATCTTGTGTAATTTCCACGCATCACGAATTTAGAAAATTTGGAATTTGAAAACATTTTATTAATAACGCGTGAGTCCCAAGTGTCCGGGAGTTGGGCATTCAAAGTCAGCACACGTTAATATTCTTTTTCACTCAAATTTAACAAACATTCGAAAAATTTTAAATGAAGATACTGTACTTCATAAAGCAATTAAAATTGCCTCACAGTCTTTGAGGCTATTTCCCATCGTTGACAGCATCCTATGTTTTTAATTAATTACCTAAATCTTCCTCTTGAGAAATTTCGCAATAATTTGACGAACATCATGGGAAATAAGAGGACGTTTTGAATTTTGAAAGAGTTTCTAAATTTAACGCGGGCCTGAGGTGCGCTTAGATGTCCTGAATCTCAGATATAAGTGAACCGTGTTTTCCTCTTCGTTCAAATCATTCGAGCATTCCGCCAAAATTTCAATTAAAAATGCCTGACAGGATAGGATATATCGCACATCTCCAGTAGCAACCGCCCATGTTTCCATCAAGTCGTGATGCAAATTTTACTCCGAAGAGATTCCGTCCTTCCGACATAATTTTCCGAGCATTCCGCAAAACAGAGGTTATTTTGAATTTTACAAAGTTGTGTAAGTAAAACGTGAGCCTCAACGAGTGGTTGGAAGTTGCGGCACCCAAAGATTAGCGAACGTTGTTCTCATCTTTGCTGAAATTTGACGAGCATTCGAGCAAAATTGCAATTAAAAATGCCTCGTTATGCATGCATAAAAACTTGCCCCTCCGCATCGTTCGCCTTATTTTACATGCATACATCTCCGTATGCATGATACACGGAGGTAAAAGACATGACGCTGTAGCCTCTTTTTTTCTTCAAGCTACTCGCATTTACATACATTCTTTCTCATATCAATCCTCGAGGACGCCTTAAAGAGATCGAGTCGCTTCGCATAAATGTGTATATATATAGGGGGTGTTCGTGACCATCTTCTACTGCTTCGCCGACCACCAAGTGCGGAAGGTGCTGCATTCCAAATGCGTTCGTGCCGGAGGCGCAGGTTGCCCGAAGCGTCAATTCTGGAAAGTGGTGTACCACGTACTGCAACTCAAGTCGGAAATCGGGCGCGGCGGCGACTCGAATCGGTCTCGGTTGGGCGCCGAGAGCGTGCGCCACGACTTCCGGCGCCACGGCACCAACACGTCGCTCAACAATGCCGCCGGCGTTCGTCAAGGTAGCCAATATTACGCGTGCCACAACGGCTCTGTGACACTCAACTTCCGACGCGACGACGAGATGACGTGCGTGACCCCGGTTCGAACGACGCACAACTTCCCGCCCGCCAGCCCCAACAACGCCAGCTCGATTTTCAGGGAGAATCAAGCGGAACTGCTCAGGTACGATTTTTGTCGTTGTTTTGTTTCTAATCATAAAGTATTTCAAACAACAGTGTTTTTAGTCAACCAAAAATTTTATGAAACTTTGCCGGTCTGCAGAAAATTTTAGGAATATTTGCTGGTCCGCAAAACATTTCATGGAAATTCGCTAGTCCATGTGTACCCGAAAATGTTGGGACACATTGTGCTAGAGCACAGACCGCACCTGCATTCTTAGCGGTAATTTTTCAATTACGATGATATTAACATGTAGGGGGAAAATTTGGCATAACACAGCATGGCAGGACCTTGTGTTCCCATTTTATTGAAAGAATACTCCTGGAGGTAAAGACGAATAACGTGATTCATTCCTAGGTGAAAGCCTACCAAAACAGGGGTCAATTGAAAAGCCTCATGAGAAACAAAAGTAAATGATCCAAACTCAGTTGAAACAGACTTTCAAGATAATTTGATTTGGATAAACACGCACTTATGATTACGAACCATATAATGTTGAATAAGAATCCATTGTACTCTAATCCATGCTCGGATATATTCTGAATAAAAGTTTCACCGTAAGTTTCGCATGCTATTTTTGAAGAAAAAAGTGCGTTCTATTTTCGCAGAAAAATTCATAGAAAATCCTCACATTTCTCACTGAACAAATATAGCCTCTTCAGAGCCAAATGTTTAAATCGTATAATTAAAAAAGGTTTTTGCGGATCATACTATTATTTAAAACGCACCAAATGCTCACGAAAAAATCTCGGATCAATTCATAGAAATGGACTGCTGACGACATCTTCATCCCACAAAGGAATCTTTCTGGCTTATCTGCTCAAGATTGCCAAGCTGCTAGATATACAGTACACACTTTCAGCGAAAATTCTAGATAGAATGCCGTATTTACTACGGCACGCCTTTTTTATTTATTCAAAGATGAAAACCTAAGCAGATTGTCGTCTAAGTCTGGCAAAGATATTCGAAATTAAGGAAATCTCATTTTTCGTAGCAACATTACAAAAGCCATTTTATTCCAGCTGTGTCGCGTAATCCAATTCTAATGCCATCATACCCTGAGGCAGAATTGCCAGCCACAAACCTATAAGCAGATAGCTGAACCTTCACAAATGAATGATGGAAACACACAGAGAAACCCCCAAAAAATGTTTGCATCTCGGCAAGGAAATTCTCAAAATTTTCAGCTTCGAGAAAGTCCTCCAATTGTGCGATCGAGGTGCCATTTTAGAAAAAACGTCAGCTGGAGAATCGTGAAAATATTCTAATTTGGATTCCATTCACCCCAGCAGTGTAAACTTGGCGATGTCGTTCTATAGTGAAAGCCAGGCACGTGTCAATACTATCAATTTCAAATCCCTGCGAGTCCCAGTCATGCAGAATCGTTGATCTTACTGATTCATTCAATGAAATTAGGGGAAAAGGCTTCAACGTTAAGTCTTGCTTAAGTTCAATAAAGTTCCTGGGTAGAACCCCGTGTTTCGCGAATGTCACTTGATCTGACGTGGGAATCAATGCAATCCTGCTGCCTTACGAAGCCTGTCTTTGTTCCAAAAATACTCTTGGCATAAATTCCTTTGTCTAAACAAAAGAATTCATTTCCACCGGTTTGTTCGAGAATGAAATTTATCTGTAAGATGTTGAAAGGGCACAATTATTAGAATTTCTAATCTCTTCTCGGCACGTGTTTGATGATGAACTCATGCTTTTATTCCCGAAGAATTCTTCTTGCAAAATACTTAATCTCAACTATATTTAATGAGTTGCTTCGAAATCCTTGGTAGAATAAAAAAAATTCCACAGAAATTCCGTCAAAGAAGCTTCATCACTCTCAGAATTATAACAATGAATTCGGTCACCACAAAAAAGTATAACTTCGTCTGGAAAAGAAACTTTTCGCTCACGGATTCATTTTCGAAAAACTTCACTCTTCAAATACATTTTCCGGGAGAACATGAAGGTCAACCGAGAATAGTCTGTGAACGATAAATAGTTGGGCTGCATCAAATTCTTATCAAAGTTTCCAGTCAGGTCTAAATGCTTCTTAAAGTCTTTTGAGAACGAAAATGTTCACAAAGTTCGTTATATAATCTGTCAACTCCTTCTCTTGATTGAATAAATGAAGATCAGAAGCAGGTGAAAGCAGTGGAATTTCCATCTCAACAGAGTCTCTCATGAATTACTGTACATCTAAAGCGTAGATTCCTTCCAAGAAAATGTGTCTCAATGTGCAGGGATATAAATCTAAAAAACATATCTCCCGTTTTTTTTGAAGAATACACATACCTCGTATCTGAACACAAGAGGAATTGAATATATCGCAGAATCGATTTTTCTTAAACTTTCCAAGTCAAATAATTACTTGTTTGTCACTATCCCGCATACGAGAGCTGGTTCATATAAGTTTTGAGACTTCTTGAGACAAATTCAACGGATTTTCAACCGTTCCCAAACATTTTTTTTTTACTCGCAAAGCCCCGTAATTTGGTCACACTCCAAAGCAACTCTCTGCCGATTTCAATGCATTTTTTTTCGTGCGATAAATTCAACGATCCAAATGCTGTATTGCCAAAAATCGAGCTTCTGTGTTTTGATTGTTTATTGCAGAAAATCGGGTTTTGTTAGTTGATAAGGCATCCTCTTACTTCTAGCTGTTCCCAAAGACCTGTAAGGGATTGATTTAAAAAAAAATAGGGACATTTCCGCCATTGAAGATGATTAGCCTAATCACATACCGGAACTCGATTTTTATATTCTCAGATGCAATGGACGCTATGCGAATCAACAAAATGACCAGCCCGTGGTTTCCTTCGCCATCGGGGACGTGGAAATTGGCACCAAATCCGCGCCTCAAACCCCTAGACTCAGTCGCAAAAACACCGTCAGCAAAACCCGGTATTCGCCGACGAACGTGATTCGCAGCGAAACCCTGCTCGCCAACTGCACCGCTGTCGACTCCAGCAGTCGACGTCAGCAGTCGCAAAATCAACGTCAATCAGACCCTAACCAAAAGCCAAAAATGGGCTTTCTGGAAACTGCACGCGGGTGGTTTACTGGCAACTCTAGCAAAAAATCCTCACAGCGAGCCAGTGATGTCCCCGTGAGTGACACTCGCCCACAGGAAGTGAAGGCATCGGAAACAGGGGATATTGTACGCAATCAGGAGGAGAGCTCGCAGAAACCGTCGGGTTCTCGGGAAAATTTGCGCTCGGATCATCCCAAGATTTGCGTTGTGCCGGAAGAGTCTTCCGATTTCGATCGCTCCGAAGAGCGCGTGAATTCGGTCATGATGCTCAACCGCACGGCCTCGACTACTCCTTCTCCAGAGGAGTCAGCTAAAAGGTCTACCGATCATATGGAACACCACGAATCTGTTACGAAACCGGAAAAAGAATCCGAGACCTATGTGTGATTCCAATACGAAAAAATTCCCTCTACAGCAGCGTAACATTGAGGCCGATCGCGATTTTCCTGTACGTGCCCAAAAAACGCGTTACATATGATCTCAAGAAAAAAATTAGAAGAGCTATTTGTGCTTGGTGGAAATTTTTCATGACGAATATGGTGTGGTTTTTCAAGACTTTCAAGAGATTTGTGTTTGAGCTCATTTGCAGTGGAACCTTCGTTGATCGGGTTGATGTTCAGATGGTTTTTTTGCGGAGCTGAAACTTAATCACGGATGATCGAAAAACTTTGAAAAATATTCTCATTTCACGATACCCGATATAATATTAACAAAGTGCCTTAAAATTCTGGAAACCCACACATTTTCCAGACCCTCCTTTGTGGAATAGGCCTATACTTCTTTTGACAACATTGTTGTTCTTCAAAAAAGTTTATAACAACAAAATTCCGCAATTCCACGCCCCTTCTACAAGAACAAGCTATTTTCAGTTTTCTAAAGATCTATAACCCGTCGAAGAAGACATATTTTGCACTAAAAATATTTTATAAAAAAAAACAGTATTTGGGATACCACTATACTCATGATTACAGAATGAGCTTTTATGATTTTTTGGCAACTATATGTTGACCCCGAATTTGACCTTCAGAATACAGTAATGATTTGTAGGTTAACATAGGGTAACATTCGCCATGCAGCAAGAGATTCCACAGCAGATTCCAGTCGATAACCTCATGCTTATCGAAGAAAATCTCCGGAAAAATCATATTCTCATCGTAACGAACTTCAGTGCTTTTTGGCTCATTAATAGGGCCACATCTCTGTACAAAGATTAAATTAATTGTTCCCCACTTTCCCTCACCTGTAACTGCAGAAAATACTGTTTACATCCGATCATGACCCCGAAAAATGAGGTTCCACGCTAAAAAAAAAAAAAAGATCAAATTTAAGTGGGTTGATCACGTTTTGCATGAAAGTCCCTAATTTTGACACGCATCAATGGAAAAGAGCGTCTGGAATTCTCGCCTGTCGCTCGCTTGGAAAATTTGGCTGTTTCAACCGGTTTGTGAACGTGATGAACAGTTTGCCAAGCATATTTTCCCGGAAAATACAAACAAACAAAAGATCAAAACGTTCGTAACTGGTTAAAAACTCTCTTCGACAGACGATTCAGCGGGATACCATGATGAGCTCCATGTTCATGTCTCGCCATCGATGGATTTGTGTGTAGGTGTATGAGTGTATTTTTTATGTTGAAGATGTATACGTCTCTCAGTTGGTTTCTTTAAAGTTTATCCTTGAAATGAAGTTGTTTTTGAACTTGCATAAGTTTGACGTGAGCTTTATTTTGAATCATTTTCATCCTGAAGGTCAGCAGAACGTACTGAGGTTTTCTTGAAATTTAAAGAGGAATTTAATCACCGGTATGCTTCAAATTAAAAAGTTTCAGAATATATCATGCGTTTTTGTCAATTACTGAATAACTGCAGATTTCCACCGAAATTTGAAAGCGTACTTGTAAGATTACACATTGCACGAGTCAATGGGTACAACAAGATAATTCAATTCCTTTGAGCCTGCTCATCCTTGAAGGTATACAAATTGTCATGGAGAAATAAGTAGAGAAAGTACACAGTGAGATATGATGCTAAATTGGGAAAGTTTTCTAGTGATACAGAGGCATGAATTATCAACACGGATCCACTTGTCAGGCCGATTAATGACAAATAAAATAGAGAGAAAGAATAAATGCAGTCACTCAGCCTTTAACGGCCGGATCCTCTTTAGCAGAGTCCCTTAGAAGAATCAGCTTTATCCCAAACACGCACAGACCACAGAAGGATACAAGGTACCCAGAGGTACAAACAATCGCGCTATGACGCAATGACAGCCGATAGGTTGGAGACGGCCAAAGGACCCCAAGACGGGGTCGCGTAGGTGTCGCCGGTGGTCGGGGGCCTGGGGATGTGCGGGTGCGGTGGCACCGGGGGACGCGGAGCGTCCTCGACCAGTCCGGGTCCAAAATGGTGGCGCGCAGGCGCACCGGGGGGTCCTGGGAAGGAGAGGAGAGGTTCGTCATTCAAGTTGGGATCCCGCCAGGGGCGGAGGTCCCTGATTGCGTCAAAGTTCGTTACAAAAGTGTTTTGTGTTAGTCCAGTGTCAGAAAAAGTGCGTATCAGAAGGCAGAGGACCAGTGTCGGCAATCTTGGTTGACGAGCGTCATTTTCCCTTGTCCGGCGTAGTGCGTGGCACGAATTCGGCGATCTGGTCCGGCTGCGCATGCGTTGTCGCGTTGGTGGGGGCCCCCTGCGAAAGATAGATAAGAGATAGACGTGCCGGAGGTCTTACCATCGTGTCGCTGGCAGAGCAGCCTTTGGGGTGCCTGTCGCGATTCGTCAGAATGCGAGGCCGGCCGTGTCGTTAAGAGCTTGGCCCCCGGTCTTGCATGCGCATCTCGAGGGCTGCAGGAGCCCGAGGGATCCAGTGTGCACCGGCGCGAGGCGTCGCGGTGATTCCCTTTTTTGTATCCGCGTCAGAGGCGGTGGGTCTAGCTGTGGTTCTTTCTTTTGTGTCCTCCAGATCCAGTCGACGCGCGTACCAAAAGAAATCGAAAAAGAACAAGTGCGGAAATTGCGCGCGAGCATACGAAACAAACAAGATTTGCGTAGGTTCGAGAAAGCAAAGGTGAGCGCGTGAGATTGCGCAAAGTTGAGCCAGGTTGCATCAAAGCCGCGGGCCACAAAAAAAGGAAGAAAAGAAAAGATTGTGGACTTCGTGGAGGATCATGGATGGCGGACAAAAGCGCAAGCACAGCGGGGATCCGCCGGTGACGCAAAAACGTCGGGCGTCGGAGGAGGACGTTTTTGAGCTCAGCATGTCCGGTAAGTGGCTCCATGGTTGTAACCGTGATTTGTCCTTGATTTTGCGGTTTTGGTGGTTTCGCAGAGGACCCTGATGAAACTCCGCCTGATCTGGTGATAGAGGAGGTTGTGGAGGGCGGAGCATCGTCCGGGTCGGCGGTCAAAGTTGCCGTCAAGGCGGCCATCGAGGTCGCCGTGGAAGCTGCCATGGCGGCGGCCATAGAAATAGTGGAGGACGCTCCCGCGGCGGGGGCGTCGGCGCCGGCTGTGCGGCTGCCCGAGGTTGTGGGGGCAAATGCCTCTGTGCTGGCTGGGCTGACAAAAGACAGCTGGCAGCACCTCGTGGCATTGATGCCCATGGCGGCGTCCGTCAAGGCGGCGACGGCGCATCGGGTACACCTGGAAGACCAATTGCGCCGGGAGACTGCGGCCGCCGAGGCGGCGCACCAGCAGCTGAGTTTGGTCCAGGCGTCGGTGCAGGGGATGACAATGGCCGTGGAGGTAGCGGAGTCGTTCCGCCTGCAGCTCCGCTCGGCGGAAGTGGAAAACGCTGCGAGAGAACAGGACTTGACGCGGCACGTTGCAGCACAATTCCGTGTTGCGACGCGCGTGGCTCTGCGCAGTCTGGGGCAGGCGTTTCCTGCCGGTGGGCAGGTGTTTTTGCAGGATGAGGACGTTGTGGTACGACGGGAAGGTGAGTGCCCCGCCTGCTTAAGCAGCAGTATGCTGCGACTAATGCAGTGGCTGTTGGACACAGGAGCGCTGTGGATGGCGCAAATGGCTACGACACCAAGTGTCGAGTTCGTCTGGGGGCCAGCGATGGACGTGGTGCCGGCGTGGTACGCCGGAACGCGTTCCAAAGATGCCCCGCGAGTTGCTGCGATCAAGGCGGCCACTGCTGCAGTTGTTGTAGTGCCCCGTGCGGCGGAGGCGCCTGCAGCGCCATCTCAGCGCTTATCAACGCCGCGCCAAGAATCCTCGGCAATGGTTGAGGATGAGGCGGCTCCGCCGTCGCGAGCGCGGGTTCCTGAGGCGGCAATGTGCGGCAACGATCTGGACGTCGAGATGCTGGACGCCCCTCCAAGTAAGTGTGTATAGAAATGGTTGGCGAGAGCCAATGTAACACTTGGTCTGTTTGTTGGGCTGCGCAGTTGCAGACGTACCGGAAGCCGAGCACTTAGAAGTGCTTACAGAGACGTGGCGGTTTGAGCCGGAAGAGCCGATGGTGTACGTGCGAAACGTACGTGAGCGACGGGGTGCTGTGGGTGATTGGTCCCGCTTTATGCGGAGCTTTCAGCTACCGACGCCTGGTTGCACGGTTGCCAACTATTGGTTCCGATGCGTTCAACACACAAGGATCCCACCAGTGCCGCGGGGCTTCAGCAACAGCCGAAAGTGCGTACTGGTAATTGGGGATTCGTTGCTGTCAATGTCGAGGATCACCCGTGAGCCGTACTGCTTCTTTGGACGGATCAGCTTGCGGTCGAACACGCCGCAGCCGGTGTTCAACTACTCGTACCTGACAGAAGATCTGTCCTTTGAGGTGTTCCAGGTGAGTGCGGGGATGGGCTTGGGACTTGACAAGGCTGTTTTTAAACAGCGGTTTGCGTTTTTCGCAGTGGAGCTTGAGCGGCTTGGCCGCGTTATGTGGCCGGAACGCCATTACGCCGGCGAACCTGCGCCAGCGGGTGTGGGCGGATTTGTGCTTGCCTGTCGACATGGAGTTTGTCGCGGTTTTGGTGCGCATCGGGACAAACGACATCAAGTTCCTGGTGTCGCGGACAGGACCGTGTCCATTCTCGTCTTTTTCGGCATTCTTTGCGCAGTTAAGGATGTACCACGCGGGCCTGACAGATGCGTTTGGCTGCCCGGCGTTTGCTCTGGGCGCTTCGCCGCCGTCGGATGAGACTGATGAGGATGCGCACGCCGTTGTGCATGGACAAGATGGCTACCCGGTGTTGCCGGTGAGGGCCCGGCAAGGTCCTACGACAGTGGCGCACCGCATGCACGCCGGTGGACTGATGCTGGCCTTGCTGCTGCGGGGTTGGCAACGACGATATGGCCCGTTCAGGGCGTACGGCCCGGAAGGTACCCGGCGAGGGTACTATGCAGCCCCAACACCCGGGGGCATGATGACTTTGCTGCTTGCCTGGTGCGCTGACTTTCAGCGCGATTTTGGCCACCTGACGCTGGTGGAGGCAGGTTTTATGGCAAGGGACTTGACGGTCTCGTGCATCTGGGCGGTGGCCCGTGTGTCGGGGGAGGCACCGGCCCTGTATGGGTTGTGCCCGGGGCGTGCCCCGGAGTGGAGGAGAGATGGGACCGCTACGGACGGCATTGCGCCTCTCAGCCCGCATGACCACTGCGGGGAAAATGGATTGCGGCCATGTGTGCCGCAGGCGTTGCCGTCGTTGGACAGTGTGGGCGCGGCTGGCGACCCATTTTCGCAGTGAGTAGAGCCTGGATGACGGGGAAGATTCTTTGTTGTAACGCTCATTGCGTATTTTTCAGATTCGACCCGACTGGCTTCCTGACGGGAGCATACGGCCATACATACAGCCACGTGGGGCTGCAAGGCACACGGATGACCACTCAGCTGCAGCGCGCTGGGCTCCTGCAAGTGGGAGCCATCATCATGCATGCCGGCCAGCGGATGGTAGTTGTGGAGACGACGGCCCATGGCGCGTGGGTCATTGGGGTATTGGGCCGCGTTAAAGTGCCACTGAATGTGGTTGCGGGCAAAGTGCTGTTCAAACTCCATCTCCTTGGCACGGAGAAACCGTGGCCAGGCGGCCCGGAATGCGGAGCCGTTATCTGAGATGACGGTGGTGGGGCTGAGGTCGCGGGAATGACAGAATGTATTAAACGCTGTCACAAAAGATTCCAGGGAAACGTCCCTGACGGGTTCTAGGTGGATTGCCCGCGTAAGCGGGCAGGAAAAGACACAGATTGACATAGTTTTTCCGTCCAGGGTTTCAAAAGGCCCTGCAAAATCAACTCCGACCGTCTCAAACGGCTTCATGCCGGAGTAGCGGTAGTGCGGGAGGGGCGCCAATGGTTGCACAAACGGGAGGTTATCGAATCGTTGGCACCATGGGCACTCCCGAATGATGTTGCGGACTGGTCTTCGCCCCCCCTTCATCCAGTACCGATGCGTTAGTTTTTCTAGGATGGCGGTCGTTGATGCATGCCGCCATTTCTCGTGAAACGATCGTATGAACGCTCGGAGGAGGGGGGGTATGTTGCCCGTCCGGGGGACGGGGATGTGGATAAGTTCTTTCCGAGCTTCAAGCCCGCGCCGCCGCCGAGGCAGGGACACATCGGTGTCCTGCCGGCTGCGGGACATGACCAGGCAAGTCGTCGGGTCCCAGCGGAGATCCGGCCGACGCTTGTTCTTTTGGTTGTTGGTCACGTCGGTCCAGGCTGTGTGATCGTGGAACTTTTGTAGGATGCGAATGGCATCGTCGG